GGATCTGGTATAAAACTTGCATATGTGTTAAATTTGTTCTTAATGTCAAGAATGTCACTGAAAGCTGAAGGAAACTGAATTACATAGGGTGAAAAGCTTACAGTATATATAATTTTTAGTGCTTTAGGGTTTGATATATATGTCATGATCCTACTTTTGCTACCCGCTAACCCCCATTATATTGAATATTCTAAAACAATTCTTTGTTTGTTTAACCAAAGCTTATCTAGTACCTGCTTTGTGCTTGGCACTCTTTGGGGAAGCAGACAAAATAGAACAAAAGTTACATTCTAGTGAAATTAAATAAAATAAAAGTATTGACACAGTACACTTGATTTTATTTTTAATGTTTAAAACTACAGGCTCAGATTGTTCTTTTGGTGATTCTACTTCTTGCCATTGCTGACTTCGTCATAGGAACATTTATCTCATTGGAGAGCAAGAAGCCCAAAGGTTTCTTTGGTTATAAATGTAAGTAAAGAAGATTAAATATCTTTTTAAAATTTATTTATATTTTTTATGTAGTACTGAGGATTGAACCCCGGGCCTCATGCATTCGAGGCAAGTACTATACCACTGAGTTACATTCCCAGCCCGAATAAATACCTTTTAAAGAATGTATATTACAGCATTATACTGCTAACTAAATTTAATACATTTTAGGTATTTTGTAATGTAACTTGAGTTAGTTCTGGTGATCCACACTCATTCTTATTTCAGTTTTTGTCACCTTTATACAGTCTGTACACTTGCARTAAAAGTCACCTTCATTTTTATCTTTTATTTTTCAGCCTTAGCAACAAAAGGTGATAGAATTTACAGAAATCAGTGATACTGAGAAAAGGTGCTTTTGATCTCTACTTCTTGGGGCAGTTTGTAACTAACATGACCTTTTCTGTGGTGCTGGGGATCAAACCCAGGTGTTCTACCACTGAGCCATATCACCACCCCATTTTTTATTATTTTAGATGTGTACTTATGTATCCCTTAACTATGGAAACACTGTGAGAAACATTCATTGACATGCAATTCAGTGGATGAACTGCATGTATTCAATTAGTTGTTGTGAATTGAATTCATTGAATTCATTTTTGTGCAGATATCAAAATATAACACAAATTAAGGTGCATACAGTATTAACACTGTATGCACCTTAATATAATCTTATGGAACTGCTGTCCTATATGTGTTCCATTGTTGACTAAAATCTCATTATTTGGCACATGACTCTATTTATAAACACAGCAGTTTAAAGGTGAGATTGTGAGTGCAACTAAAATATTTTAGTTTCTTGGTGTAAGTGCCACTTAAGTTACTCTGCAATTTATATTAATTATGTGAGAATTTTCCTTAGTTTTTATATTTTATATTCTTTTATTTTTAACTGCTGGTAACATTTACTTGTCTAGGACTTCATTATTTCCTAACATTATATCAGTGTCCTCCCCATCCTCTATTGACCTAATTAAGCAACTCTGGACCCTTCTTTAAGATAGTAGGAAAGATTAGTTGCTGAGAGGCTTATCTCTAGTCAGCTAAAACCCACATTTTTAAGCCCTAGAAGCAAAAATCTTGTTTAGTTTCCCTGAGTTGTTTTCCCCAGATCTGTAAAAAAGATACAGAATGTAGATCAATGCACTTCTTCCTTCAGAAAGCCTTACTGGAACCAAAAATAAATAAATAAATAAATAAATAAAATCAGCTGAACTAAATTGGAGCCTAGAGACCTCATTGGTTTATGTTCTATTGTAAGCTCCTTAATCTTGTTACTGACTGGAACATAGCACTGGTGTGGCTTGTACCTAACACTGACTCAGTTAGCTGAGCTGTTTTCTGATACACATTGTTTTAAGGCTTTTACCTCAACAAGGGACACCCAATATTTGTGACTATTTGTGATTTCTATTCTGATTGCTAGTATATGACTGATTCAAACTGGGCTTTAAATTTGTTTCCTAAGTTAGAGAAGAGGCAAGCCAGAAATAAGTTAGTAGCCTTCTTTGATTGCCTTCTTTTCTGTATTTTGTGCTCTTATAAATATATTAGATTTTTTCATAGTAATGAGTTTTTTTTCCACTTCATTTTTTAATATTATGTATTTTGGGGGAACAATTGTTTGCCATTTTTTCTTCTAAAAAAGTATTAAAAATTACAGTGTGGGCTGGGGATGTGGCTCAAGCGGTAGCGCGCTTGCCTGGCATGTGCGGTTCGCTGGGTTTGATCCTCAGCACCACATAAAAATAAAATAAAGATGTTGTGTCCACCGAAAACTGGAGAAAAAAAATTACAGTGTATGGTTACTTCTAAAAATATCCCCAATAAATACATTTTCTTTTTTTTTTTTTGACTCCAGTTGATTTTAAAATATCTGTAGATACCTTCTAAGCCATATTTTTTTCCTTTTCTTCAGATCTCTGACATCTTATAAAGGTGTTATATAGTTATATGGCATATTAACAGTGTATATTGTGTTTAAGTAGCGCATCTGGGCTTACATTAGTTCAAGGTTAATAAATCTAAATGCTTTGGCATGTGAGTTTTCCTTTTGGTAGTTGATACTGCTTTGGCTTTCCTTTTCATTATACTATGATAATTTTGGCAGTGTACAATTTATGCTAATGAACTCTTGAGTTCACATGACCTCCTAATGGTGATGTGGAGATATTCATGTTATCCTCTTGCCCTTTTCCTTTCTGTCCTCCTTTTGCCAAGGAATAGTGCCTCTTCTTTTTCTGGATCCTGTTTCTTTTACTTTATCCAAGGCACTTCTCTTCATAACATACTTATTTCCCTTAATCAAAATGTCTGCCTCTGCATAATAAGCTTGCTCTAATAATTCTCATCTTTGAAAATGGTGTCTTTCATTCCCCTTGTTACGACTTCACTTTTCTAGTTACCATTCATATATAAATTTCTCAGATCTTCACCTCCCACTTATTCCTTGTTATTTTAAAAAAAAGACAAGCCTGTAGAAAACTTGCAAAAATAGTAAAATAAATTCTTTATACTTTTTACCTGGATTCAATGATGAACCTTTTATTTTTTATCTTTTTTCCCACATTTATCATATATATATATATATGTAGTAACAAATTTACTATGTATATTATATATCAAATTATTATTATGATTGCCTTCTTTTGAGAGAAGTTGCAGTAATCATAGCTTCTTACCTCTAAATACTTCTGCTTATATMTAGTAAGGAAAAGAGTGATTCAGGAAATTTAACTTTGGCACAATACTAATAATGGGCTAATACAGATTTTTTCCCAAATGTCTCTAAAGATCTTTATAGAATTTTATTTTTCCTCCAGGATCATGTGTTTCTGTGTTKCATTCAGAGGGCGTGCCTTTTACTTTCTCCACCACCCCCACCCCAATGGTTCTTCACATACTGTTCAGTCTCCTTAGCCTGCCTTTGTCTTTTGTAGTGTTGACATTTTCAAGAGCAGGACATTTGTATTTCATTTGGGTTTGTCTGGCTTATTTCAGTGGATTCAGGTTATTTATTCATTCATAGAGCATCTGATGAATGATGCATTCTCCTCAGTGCATCACATCAGGAGGGGTGCATGTTTTCAGTTTTTCCTATTTTTGGTGGTATTTGATTACTCTGTCAAGTTGATATCTGGGAGATTTTTGTGTTGTGAAGTCATCTTTTTTTAAATTTTTGTAACAAATAAGTGGTTTGTATAGCGGTATTTTGAGACTGTGCTTAGCCTAGTCCCTATAAAGTTTTTAAAACATTTTCTTGTTTTATTTTGTGTCAAAAACTCATTGGGCAGTGTATCTATTACTCCTCCTATTACTACCCCTCTTCTTCCTGTCCTTTTGTTTGTTTGTACCAGGGAGTGAACCCAGGGACTCTTACCCATTGAGCCACATCCCCAGCAGCCCTTTTTATATTTTATTTTGAGATGGGGTCTCCTACTGAGGCCGGTCTCAAATTTGCAATCTTCCGGTCTTAGCCTCCCTAGTCACTGGGATTACAGGCAAGCACCACTGAACCCAGTTCTTCCTATCCTTTAAATGCAGAGTTGCACAGGGTATGGTCCTTGCCTTCCAACCACTCTCTTTCCTTTGCTGATACTCATTTTCACGACTCAAAATAACTTATTCCTGATTCTCTCCTGTAAAATTCACACATGTAATGTTGAAATATTTATTCAGTATATTTTCTACTTATTCCTTCTCACACTTTCCTATGTCAGCAAGTGAAAGAAACTTAACAACTCAGTGCTTCCTGTTTTCTACCTGCCTCCCTTAATTTCTGATTCCTCTAATTAGGCAGTATTCTACCTGTAGATTGAACCACTGAAGCAACCTCCTAATTGGTCTCTGTGCTTCYGAAGTTGACCCCTTCAGTCCATTGTTGACACACAGCATCTATACAACATAATCTACCTTATGCCATTTGGGTGCTTCTAGCCTTACCCTGATTTTCCATTTTATTTAAGGTAAAATTTAAACTTTTTWATAAAATTTTGCATAATCTGATCCCTACTGATGTTTTCAATCTCATTTCATCTTTCCCTTTACTATAAGAACTTTACCTTGTAGTTCCTCAGAATATCTAAAACCCTTAGGGTTTATACTTGTTGATTCTCATTTCAGCTGTACTCTTCTCCCTGATGATTGATCACATTGCTGATTCTTCTTCAGTAAACTGTCAGTTTAAATATTATCTTCTTGGTTATGTTCTTTAGACTTCTGTATTTAAACTGAATTAGGTTCTCTGTTTTATTCTTTATCATAGCACCCCCGTTTCCATCAGTATATTTATTGCCATCTATAATGACCTGTTTCTTATTTTGTAGTCCCTCCTCTTCAAGACATGAATGCACACACTGCATATAGCTTATTCATAATATCTATAAACATTTTGAGGTGTTAAATAACTTTAGAGAATCTGGCACATGATACTCAAATAATGAAAATGACAAGTAAATGGTTATTTTAGTGTTAGTGCATGCCTTTCAGAATAGAAAAGGTAGGACTAGTTGAAACTATCATTATTATTGAAAAGAAAAGAATCTTTACTTAGGGTACATTAGCTAAAATTATCTGGCATGGGTCACCACTATAAAACAGATAAAGCTATGGACCCAAACCCACACAGATGGTAACATAAGTTAGAAGTAAGGGGCAGTGGGACTGATTCCAGATTAGTATGAAGTTTGTTTCCTTACCTACTTTTGTGTTTCTTTGACCTCTATGAAGGAGGGGTTGTTCACACTTTGATTTTTATATTTTGACTAGTGACAACAAATCAGAGGCTCTTAAATTATTGGTAAAGGATACAAAAAAGTAGGACATGACCCAAGTCAGATTACCATTTTGACTATACATGCCCTCATACAAGAACAAAGGAATACTAATACTTGAATTAGGAAATATATATAAATTTGCCAATTTCTTGAAGAAAAGTTGGGGATCATATGCTCCAATTACTTTTGACCATAAAATTATTATGGACTAATCTGCTATCATTTATTTTCCAAATAAATGTTCTCTATAGCTGAAATATTTAATGAAAACTTTGGACCAGATTTCCGAGATGAAGAGACTTTCTTTTCTGTATTTGCCATCTTCTTTCCTGCTGCCACTGGTATTCTAGCTGGAGCAAACATTTCAGGTGACCTTGCAGTAAGTACTTTAAAATATAATATCATACGGTTTTAAAAAGTGGTATATGTATTTTAAAAGATAGATTTTTTAAAAAAATTATTATTGTCTTCCAGGATCCTCAGTCAGCCATTCCCAAAGGAACACTCTTAGCCATTTTAATTACTACGGTGGTTTACATAGGAATTGCAGTGTCTGTAGGTAAATAGCCTTCCAATTTTTATGTGTCTTAAGTTTCATAATACACAGTATAAATATTCTCATAATATTTTCTAACTTCTAGTTCAAAAGTATTTCCATAAATAGACAGAGTTGCCTATTATAATTTTAAAGCAGTTCTAAGAAAACTAGTGGTGACATTTATACTCAGGCTTGGTGTGGCTCAGTGGTATAGTACATGCTTCGCTTGGATAAGGTCTTGGGTTCGATCCCCAGCATCATGGGGAATAAAAACAACACAAACTCTAAACTCACTGATTTTATGATATGAAGGTTTCATCATATTTCAGCTTTGCCACATATTACTGATTTATTGTGACATAATAACAGAAGTATATTTATAAACTTTGATTTACATCAGTGTAACTTTGAAATTTCTCTAAACAAAAGTTAGAAATGCTAATAGTCATCATGATAAGCTAAATTGGCATTTAAGGATTTTTAGATTTCATTTATCATTAACAATCCATAAATAAATCTCATTAATTTTGAAAAAAATGAATTCATATATTCATATATAGAAAGACATGTGTGTACACACACAGAGATTTAGCAAGCTTTGTGTTTTCCTTTAAGTTCCCAGCATGCTTATATACATAATATGTAAGCTGGCTTAATAAAATTTAGCTTTAAAGAATGATTTAATTGATTATGTTTCAACTTTTTAAATAATTTTATTGTTACAGATGAATATTTTCTATTTTTATCTGACCCCCTAAAACTGCTAGCACTTGTATTTATTTCATACTGTGTATATTAGCCCTTGGAACAAGGGTTGTTCCTTTTCCCTGATGTTCAGTAGCTGGACCAGTAAAGACAGCTTCTGTATCACTGACTGTATAACTGGTTTAAGGCACAAGAACATTTTTCACCCCCCAAATTGCAGATTTAGAACTTTGGAACATGAAGCACATGAAAACATAGCTGCCATAGGGCTGACACATATCACAGGGCTCTGTACTCTCCCCATCCCCTGGTGGTTTCAGAGGGACCATTAGGGAAACATGTTTGCAAATTTGTTCAAAAGGTAGAAGAAGAAATTGAAGGATAAAGAAGTATGTAGTCTTTTTAGTCATTAAAATATTCTCCATCTCAAACTTAGTTTTCTGTTTAGTCCTTACTAAATGCCTATAATTTTTATCTCATGTATGATGATACTTGATAAAATGCTTCAGAAAGTATAAATACTAGTCTAAGGAATGATGATTACCATTAACTATATATTATGTGTTATTCAAATAAGTGTATCAAGGTAACTTTTAAAATATTTTATTATGGAAGTTCTCAATTTTACAAAAAAGTAGACAGCATTCTCTAATAAGTCCAGTATAACTACCAACCAACTTTAAGAAAGTTAGCAAAACTTATTAGGACATGGTTAATCTTGTTTTATCACTCTGTCTCATGTGTTATTTTAAAGCAAACTTCAGATGACATATATTTTCTTATTGTAAGATTAATCATATTTGATTTGTTGTTGTTGTTTTCTTGTACCAGGGATTGATTGAACCAAGGAGTACTTACCCACTGAGCTACATCCCCAGCCCTTTTTATATTTTATTTTGAGTTAGGGTCTCATTAAGTTGCTTAGGGTCTCACTACATGGCTGAGGCTGGCTTTGAACTTGCATCTTCCTGCCTCAGTTTCCTATGCCATTGGGATTATAGGTGTGTGCCACTACACCCAGCTCAGGGCAGTCATATTTGAGACAAAGGTTTAAATAAAATTTTCATTCAATAATATTCAAAATTTTTTCTCTCACAGAAGATTGATATTATTGGTCTCACCTTTGATCGTGCTTCAAAAGTGAAATATTTGGAATTTAGGAAAATATTTTTTTCTATTTGGTCTGTTTATATTTACTTAAAGACTTCTTAACCAAATAGGCCATGAGATAATTTTACTAATGTACCATTTTCACAACTCAATTTATACAATTTTTAAGTATTTGTGTGTAAATACTATTTTTAAAAGGTTCAGTTTCATTACTTGTACACTGAAGACCATGATACTTTCCAAATTTGTTCAAAGTAAAGCTATCTTAACTGTAAATTCAGTGTATACTATATATCTTGTCAGTACTTTGATTTCTTTATGAGTAGATGTAATTCCAAAATCATATGGATTTTAGCTATATTATTCTCTTGTCACTGGTACTTCAGGTTCCTGTGTTGTTCGGGATGCCACTGGAAACATTAATGACACCATTGTAACAGAACTGACAAACTGTACTTCTGCAGCGTGCAAATTAAACTTTGACTTTTCATCTTGTGAAATCAATTCTTGTTCCTATGGACTAATGAACAACTTTCAGGTAAGTATTGAAGTTATATTATGCAGACAGACTGCTGTTAAATCTGACTATTCATAATATAGCTATAAATTACAAGGCGGGGACGTTGTTACCTTATATACTCCAAATTACTAACTGGGCATAGAGAAAAATATGAAAAGGTGAAAAATCTAGGCTCTTCGTGAGGAAAAAGAGCTTGAGGATAACACTTTTATAATAGAGTATAATTCATAGTGTGTGTCTATATGTAGTTTATAAGAAAGCAAGCATCTGAAGCATCTCACATATAGTCGTATTTGGGTGTTTCTGGATTCTCCATATTCTGTTCCACTGAGTTTTGTGTCTATCCTTCCAACAGTACCATCCAGTCCTGTAGTTTTTTTTTTCCAGTATTATGTAAATATAATAATAGAATAATTGAGAATCTGAATATATGTAGAACTCTGTATTATGTAGAATATGCAAATTTTACTGTATGGTTTCAAGCAATTAACTGCTCTTTCAGTAGTCATAAATATTGGACCCAATTATGTAATAGTTTGTGTTTTCTAGTCATAAGACTAGGCAAAATTGTAGGAATGAAAGAAAGTATTCATGTCCAACTAATGATTCAAGCCAGTTCTGACATTGATCTTGTGTATGAAAGGCACAAATGCTAGTCTTTGCCCAGTGAGAATGCCAGTCAGATTTGTGCATTGTTGCCTTAAAATACAAAAGTGTGTTGTCTTTATCAAATCTAGTATGGACTCATTCAAGAAATGAGGAGTTTGATGTAAGTAAAGCTTTTTAATTTCTTTAATATGTTATTTTATTTTTGTTGTGGTGGAGATTGAACTCAGGGACCTGCCCATGCTCAAGTGCTCTGCCACTAAACTACATCCCCAGCCCAAGCTTTTTAATTTAAGTAATTTTTTAAAAAATATATATWTTTTTAGTTGTTTGAGAACACAATATCTTTATCTTATTTTTATGTACTGAGGATTGAACCCAGTACCTCAGGCATGCTACTTGAGTGCTCTACCACTGAACCACAAACCCAGCGCCATAATTTTTTTTTTTAAGTACCTTGCAAAATGATACAAAATGGTAGGGAAAAAAATCCTGTGAAAATATAGATCACTTGTCTTTTAGAGAATGAAGGTGGTGGAAGAATATAACAAAGGAGTATGTTAATTGGAGTCTCCATCATAGTATATATACAGGCCAGACTTTATAGTACTGTTTTACATGTAATTGCCTTTTTATACTCCAGGGAGTAAATTGGAATGTTTGTCTTCAATTATTAATCTTATACGTAGTCTTATGTTTCTTATTCTATTTTCATTTTTTAACGTCTTAAAACTTTTATTTACCATTGCCTAGTAACAGTATGTAAGCTTCTTTGTTCTGTCAGTTAAAGCCCTTTATCTTCTAAGTCCCACTTCCTTTTGTTTAGTCAATTCCAGTTATGGTATGAGTGTGTATACATGTGCATGCACAAGGGCTTACCGCACTCTGTTCCTTTGTTCAGTACCTCAGTTGACTTGCCGTGCATCAATACACACACCCAATTTATGTCATTCATTTTCTTTTTACATTCCACCTTAAATTCTTTTAGTCTTTTTTCTCCTATTAGAGACAAAAAAAAATCTTGTTTTTCATTTTGATTCTATTATATATTGTGGGCAACACTGATAATAACATTATTTACTTTCAACATCATTATACTTGCTACTCATATTTTGGGCAATGCAGAGGGGATTGGGTAAATATTTAACTGGAAAACCAGAAACCTAGCTGGCTRTATAGCATAACATTATTTACCTCAATTTAAAGCTGGGAAAATGTAATTTCTTTCACATTGAAAGCTGGAAGGTTATTATGATATATTGGTAGTATCAGTTTTGCTTTAGTCCAGCCGCATTGTATGTGTCATATTCTCTGTTCTTTTTTTCCATTATTTATGTCCTCTATTTGCACTTAATTTAGCTTTGAGATCTTTACAGATGTGTGGAATCTTGTATATATAGTTGAAGTTAGGGCTCTCCTRAAGGTAGAGTTGACAATGCTATCTAATCTAGCTTTAATAATTATTATGATAAGTAGTATTTACGCAAAATAGATGGCATATATGAAACTGCTAAATTGTTATTAGAGGACAAAACAGAAAATCATCTTTTCAAGATTTTTCCTCACCAGGCTTCTCAGAGAAGTCAGTACTAATTGTGTCTTGATATGTTAAGAATTCTTCATATTTAAGTCTATTAGAAGATATAGGGAAATACATTTTAAGTAAAACAAGATGGTTCATGTAYACCTGAAATCAGGGTTATGCCTCATGATCAGAAACCGCTCATAGCCAAATTTACATCTCTTAAAGTATTATAGTCAAGTTTGTGGTAGTCATAAACAACTTTAACTTGATTACCTGCTTTCCTTAATGTCCTTGGCCTCAGTTGTCATATTCTTAGTCCATGTAAACAAGAGGTAGATCTCCACTAATGAAGTAATGTATCCAAGTGATGATCACCATTCACTGCTGAGAAATTTTTATAATGAATGGATCAGGCTAACAATGCTGGAATCTACCTTGAATACTTAAACAGCAGTCTTTCAGTTATATTTACTAGATGTTTATATTTTGCTAAATGTTTTATCTGTCTGTATATTTTTTCTTCTCAATTATGAGAATAAATTATAGACATCACAACATAATAATCTTGAAATTAAGGCATTCTGTGCAAGCACAGTACATTTTTCCCACTTAAGAAATTTAACATTGATGATATACTCTTATTTCACTTGTCCCAGTAATATCATTTATTTTTTTCCAACATTTGGTTGTGTTACTTAGTCTATGGTAGTTCTTAGCCTGTCTTAATCTTTATGACATTACATTTTGAACAGTCTGGCAAAGATGCTTTGCATTGTATTCCTCATTTTGGATTTATCTGGTTGTCTTCTCTTGATCTAAAGGATTAATCCTTTTTGTCATTGTTTAAGAAATTTAAAAAGGTATTCACTAGGAAATATTTGAACACAGAGAGCAATATAATGAACCTAATGTACACATTGCCCAGCTCCAAAAGTTATTAATGCATGCCTAGTTTTTGTTTATTTTTAAATCCACATCCCAGTCAGTTTATTTGGTAGCAAACTGAAGACTTTATATCTGTTCAGCTGGAATATTTCCATGTTTAACTCTTAAGGACTTATTATTTTTTTTAAATAATAACCACAATACTATCTTAACATCACAAAAAGAAATTATCTTTCTGATGGAAGTTCTTATACCTCAGTATAACTGTCTACATCTAACAACCAGTTTACTGAAAATATAGAGATGACAAATACAGGTTAAACTTAATGGAAATGTAGGCAGCAAACTCCAGGGTGTAGGCTTTCTAGAGGAGATATGGCATAAAAACAAATAAATAAAATGAAAATGGAGTGTGAACCTGTAGATTGAAAAAGACCTGAGATACATCAATCAAATAAATGTAATCCTTTTTGGATCCTGATTTGAGTAAACTTTTAAAAGGTCAAGAAAAAAGGGATGATCGAGGAAATGTGAATGCTGACCAGATATGGTATTGTTAAGAGATTAATTTTTTAAGCCAGGACAGTGACATTGTCATTGCAATTTTCAAAAATTTTTACCTGTTAGAGATGAACACTGAAACATTTATGCACTAAATATCTGGGATTTTTTTGTAAATAATTCAAAGACTGACTTTATTGAAYATTGATTGTAACCTGGTGCTGGATAATTGGTGATTCATTATAAACTTCTTTGTGTCATTATGTGTATTTGAAATTTTACAAAATTTAGGAAAACATTTTAGGATTAGTGGTAAATCCAATTCAGAAATTTGTAATGCAGATTATTATTGCACATTGTTACTGTTTACTATCATCAAATTATACCCAGAATTGTCTCATTTACTAGAGTAATAAAATTGTGACTACATATTTTTACATATCTTAAAGTATTATAGTCATGTTTATAATATAATTTTCATTTTTCATATTATTTTTAAGACTTATTTTTCTTTTTTTTTCTTTTATTTAAGGTAATGAGCATGGTGTCAGGATTTGCACCATTAATTTCTGCAGGTATCTTTTCTGCCACTCTTTCTTCAGCATTAGCATCTCTTGTAAGTGCTCCCAAAATATTTCAGGTAAGTATTTTCATATTGCAAACTTTATTGAGGAGGGAGCTAAGATAAAATTTTTAGTTTGGGATTGTTAATATTTTTAAATTATTTGCATCTGTCAACCTGAAGTATATGATACATACATGTGCACATATCATGGTGTACATTTAATGTATAAGATGCACATGTTTATACATTTTTTGCATTTATTYACTATCAAGATATAGTTGTCTTTGAATTGTTCTTTTAGAAATGATGATGGATTTGCTTTTTGACAAACCTAACATAAATTTTCACAATCTTTACCAAGAATTAGGAGTGTAATCTAAACCATAAATCAGTGGTATAAGGAAAGGGCTTTGGGGAGTGGCTCAATGGTAGAGCACTTGCCTACCACATACAAGGCCTGTTCAATCCCTGAGACTACAAACATATTGGGGAAAAAAACATAATAGAGAAATGTCATGTCCAAGTTGACAACACCAATGTAAATTATTTATTTTACAAATATTTGAATGCTTAATATGTGCCACACATAGTTAACTGCTAAGGTTATAATGATAAATATGATGAATACTATTTTCCTTTGATGGACATTAAACATGGAATAGGAAATAAATACTTTTTATTATGAATGTATGAAAATTAACTGTTGATTTTACAGCCTTGTTCTTAATATTATAATATAACCAGTAGGTACAGTAAAGATATAGAATATATTTCTTAAAACAGAGTTCAATGATATTTTAAGAAAAGTGATATTTTATTAAAATGATATTTTAAGTTTTATGAGGATTTTTATTTTTTTAGAATTTAGTCTTGGTTTTCTTAAAGTTGTTAAACCTATGCCATCCTTATCAAGTTGGAAAACTTCTGTTTTATTATATTTTTATTTTTACACCTGCTTGTCTGATTCTTTATTCATAAATAGAAGAATTTCAACATGGGAATGGGGGTAAAACAGAGAAAACTTAAGAGGTAGTCTAAACTAGTTACCATTCCAATATTTGAAATGTCTTAATCTCTTTCAAAATTTGTAGGTAAAGCATCATGAGAAAGTAGAGAAAGAGGATTGGGATTAGAAACTTGGGTTCCTTTCCTGATTAACCTATTGAAACTGTAAGAAAATAATTTTGATATATTCTAATGTTTGCTTCTTTTTAATCAGGCTCTTTGTAAGGACAACATCTACCCAGCTTTCCAGATGTTTGCTAAAGGTTATGGAAAAAATAATGAACCTCTTCGTGGTTACATCTTAACATTTTTAATTGCACTTGGATTCATTTTAATTGGTTAGTTATATAAATGATGTGTTAATATAGAGCTTGGCCCATTTGTATGTAGAATTAGCTCTTAACATTGAATTATTAAATTATTAATAAAGTATCACTTTGCTTGGTACATACTATTAATTTCTTTCTAATCAAATGAAATAATGTATAAAGTACTACAGATATTATTGTTCAGTAGATTACTCCTGAATTTATTACCTTCTGTAAAAAGTCCTCACTGGGGCTACAAGGAGCTCCTAGATTTTCCCAGAAGCAATAAAATATATGACTGAGGATGTGGTTCCTAAAAGATCAGATTGAAGAATGATAGATACAGCTTATAATTTATGTAAAATTCTTTTAAAAATACCCCAAAAGTACTTTATAATGCAAGACTATATATGTGAAGTAAAACTATATTATAAATGTCTGATCAATGTATTAATCAATTTTTTATTATTCCACACATTACTTGCAAAATCTCCAAGTGATAATTACGTTTTTGAAAAATGTTTATAAATATATTTGTCTTTGATTTCAGAGAAATCAAAACTTAAAAATAGTTTTAAAGTTGGCATGTGTGGAATTGGTTTTATCATATGTATATGATTGGAAGGAATATGCCAAGTTTGGAATAGTGAGATATAAAGAGGGTTTCAACTGTGTACATATAATTCCTGAAAGTAAAGTTTATTTTACATTTATGGCAAAAATACTGTTAAATCTAGATAGTGACTATAGAGGTGTTCATTATGCTATTATCTAAATGTTGAAATATTTCATGTTATTAAAGAATTTAAAAAATGTCTGTTATTCTGTTTCTTTTACAGCTGAATTGAATGTTATTGCTCCAATTATCTCTAACTTCTTCCTTGCATCATATGCATTGATCAATTTTTCAGTATTCCATGCATCACTTGCCAAATCTCCAGGTGATAATTATGTTTTTGAAAAATGTTTTATAAATATATTAATGTCTTTGATTTCAGAGAAATCAAAAGTTAAACATAGTTATAAAGTTGGCATGTGTGGAATGTGCTTATTAATAATCAGTTGTGATTTATAGTTAAATCAAGTTAAGGCTTCAAAGATCTCTTTTATCATGAAGTTTACTGGTAATATTCCTTTTTAAAAAAAATTTGGGGGGTTGTATTTGGACACAATACCTTTATTTATTTATTTTAATATGGCGCTGAGGATTGAACCCAGTGCCTCACACATGCTAGATAAGTACTCTACCACTGGGCTACAACCCCAGCCCTTAATAATATTCTATTTATTATTTTTAAAGCATTTAAAATATATTGTGAATTATCTATTTTTTCAAGTCTTTTTGTACTGTTTAGTTGATTCTGTTTCAGTTCTAAGAACATTGTTATGATGTAGTTAACCTTTTACCAAAAAAAAAAAAAAAATGGTTTTCTTAATACTGGGGATTGAACCTAAGTCCTCACACATGTCAAGCATGCACTCTACCACTGAGCTTAATCCTCATCCCTCTAGATGTTTTCGAGTCTGGTGGAATTCTAACATAAGGTGGCCTTATTAACTGAAAAAGTATATGGAACTTTTATAAACTGTGACATGAAATCAGGGGTAGAACTGATAGAACAAAAATGTTGTTCCTTCTGAGGATCTAAGTCTCCTTAATAAAAATGTGTTAACTTAGAGCTTGGCCTATTTGTAGTATTAGTTCTAAATATTGAATTATTAAATTATTAGCAAAATGTTACTTTGCTTGGTATACTATTAGTTTCCTTCTAATAAAATGAATATATAAAATACTACAGATACTATTTCTCATTAGATATCTCCTGAATTCCTGGCACTTTAAAGTGCTCTCAGTGCGGCAGCTATAGTCGTTTTGTGTATACATACATATGTGCCATTTATATAAGTAGATGAGGAATTCAAATGACTTATTTATCTATTTATCGTTAGGATGGCGTCCTGCATTCAAATACTACAATATGTGGATATCACTTCTTGGAGCAATTCTTTGTTGTATAGTGATGTTTGTCATTAACTGGTGGGCTGCATTGTTAACGTATGTGATAGTCCTTGGACTATATATTTATGTTACCTACAAAAAACCAGGTTAGTAACCTTTTCTATTTAGTATTTGTTTATTTGGAAAGTATTTCAAGTAAAAACTAAAATACTTTATTTCTAAGTACACATAGTTTTTTGTTGTAATTTTTAAAATACATGGAATTTTTGTTCTGTTTTGAGATTTTTGTTTTTGTTTTAGTATAGGTTTTTGTTTGAACCAGGAATTGAAATCAAGGCTGCTCTACCAAGCTACTCCCSTAGCCCTTTTTGTTTTTTGAGACAGGGTCTAAGTTGCTCATGTAGTCCTTGAACTCTGACTCCAAAGTATCTGGGATATAGGAAGGCACATACATATGGAGTTTTAATGAATAATTACCTTAGACTATTTCTGTGCAGTTTTATTCTTATAAATTTAATCCTATTTATAGAAAAATAATAAATTAATATCATTAACATTCTGTGGCACTCTATATATGCTAAAATTACTCTTTGAAAGAATCAGGTTTGGGTAGCTTCTGGCCTATTAAGCACATGTATTTCCTGTATTGATCTTACAGCTATAGGAAGTAGGACAGAATTCACAAAACACTGGATGACATGCTGTCTTTCCCAGTAGGTTACTATGTGGCAAGGAAAAATGGACAAACATGTTTTAACGGGGAAATACTTTAATGATCATGTTTTCCATATTGGTAATGGTTATGTATATACGCACAAGATGATGATGTCTAGGATATATTGGAATTACTCCAGAATATAGACGAAAAATCTAGCAAGAAAAATTTGGAAAGTTTAGACCTTTAGCTATATAAACAGTTATTCTAAATTGTTTTTTGGTTTGGTTTGGTTTGGTACTAGGCATTTGACTACTGAGCCACATCCCCAGTCCTATTTTGTATTTTATTTAGAGACAGGGTCTCACTGAGTTGCTTACCCCTTGCTGTTACTGAGGTTGGCTTTGAACTCACGATCCTCCTGCCTCAGCCTCCCCTCCCAAGCCATTGAGCGAGCATCACTGTCCCTGACTCTAAATTGATTTCTTTATTCTTAAAAGGCTGTTTGAGTTGTGTATACAATATATCTACAGTACTATCATCTGTCTTTTCTAAATTATACTTTAAATGCAGTTCTAGTTAAGATGCTTATAGTAGTAGTGTCATGCTATATTAAAGTCAAGTATAGTAATTTATTTTAGCAATTGCCCTTTTAAAATATGAAAGTATGTTTCAGTGTGAGTCTCAAATTGGTTGTTGAGACGTAATCATTGGCRTTATGTTACATGAATATTGTCTTCCTATAGATGTAAACTGGGGATCATCCACACAGGCCCTGACTTATCTGAATGCACTTCAGCATTCAATTCGTCTTTCTGGAGTGGAAGACCATGTGAAAAACTTTAGGTAGGTGACACGTTAACATGGAAACATTTTGTGTTGGCTACCCAGCCCGATCTTAATTCAGCAAGATGTTCTGTTATTCCATAAAATTTCTCCAAAAGAATCATTTTTGGACTTGGGCAACTTAATTATTTAAAACCAAATTGTATAAAAAAAAAGTTATTTACCTTAGTGTTATGAAAGTTTTGGAAGTTCCTTATTTGAAAACTTCTAAGTGATAGTTTTCATAAAGTAAAAATATTTCTCTCAGTGGCCATTTTAATATTATAAATCACTTTATACATAAAAATTCATAAAGATTTTTGACATTATTTTGTAATTTCACTGAAACACTAAATATATTTGTTATTCACTTTCTCATCCGTGACTAACTGAAAACCAGTTGTAATAAAGAATCAATTCTTTACAATAAAGAGAACTCTTATTTTTCTTAAGACTTTTATCTTTATAATCATGTATCAGTCATCAATATAAAAACTATCCTTTAATACATTTCTTGTAATTGATGACAGATTCAGTTACTAAAGAACCATTGATATATACTTCTTTAAATTTAGAAATATTGTTTATTATAATGGATTCTTAGAAATTACAGGTTAATATGTATACTTGGCTAAAACTAAGTTTGTGGTTTTCAAAAGTAGAACACTAGACAGTAATATTTAAATAGTTCAAATTAAGTCTGGCTGTGAACAAGTGACTTTCTTCAGTCATAAATAATCACTTCTTAATGACTTCTGTATAATAAATACAGAAATCTATTCCATGTATGTCAGTAAACCAATGGAAAAATACCAGGAATGAGAACCTGGGAAGAAAAGTTTAGTTAGCATATTTTGAATAGTTGATGCCAACTGTGACAGAAAAATAGAAACTATTCTTTTATGTAAAATGCTGTATCTCATAACTGAGGGTATGAACAAGAGTTAATTTACCATCAGAAATACCTGTTGCTTTGCCTAATTATAGTAATGGGAACATTTTTACTTAATTTTTATTAGAATTGATATGAACACTAAAAGAAGAAATGGGATATAAGATTTGTCTTCAGAATTAGTGCTTGCTTCACCCCTAGTATCCCTGTTTCTCTTACATCACTGACAACCAGTTTCAACTTAAGCAGATTTTGGGTTTTAGTATTTATTTCATAAATCCCATGTTTTTAATTTTAGACTTTATCAATGTCTTTTTTTTAATCTACCTGAGCCCAATACATGCATGCTCGCTTCTCTTTACCTCATCTTTCAGTATATTTTTATGTTATTATTTTGATTAGATCACATTTAGATATTTGGGGGAAAGGGCTCTAAACACGAGACACAGCTGAACCATGTAGTGTATTATGATACCTTTTTCTTGGCTGCACAGGTTTTCTGTTTTTCCTGAAGCTAATATTTTTTTCTTGTTAAACTGTATTTATCTATCTCAGCCTTCACCAAACTTGCCTAATGATTTTGTTTTCTTCACCTTGTAATTACTATTTCCTTGAAGTTTTTTTCTTACTGTTTTCTGTTTCTTTAAGTTGGATTTTTAAATTAAGCCTTGTCTAAAGTAAAGTATTTGTAATTCTTGGCAAGGAGGCTCTATTGCTATCGGTGAGTGGGTCTTGTCAGTTAAAGTCTTTAATGTAGATTAAGGTGGCTTTGCTTGTTCTTTGAGGAATTTAAGTCATCTTAAAGGCTTTCTTTTTTATTTGATTAGTTTTCCCAGAAATGAATCTTTTAATCTTTTGCTTGTACATAAAGTTCTTACCACCAAAATTGTTGAGGGCCAGATAGGGAAGGAGGATGGGTGTCTCATGGTTCAATTTGTAAATGTGGCTTGTTTTGGTTTTTTGGTACTAGATATTGAACCCAGGGTTGCTTAACAACTGAACCACATTTCTAGCCCTTTTTTATTTTTTATTTTGTGACAGCATCTCACTAAGTTGCTTAGGGCCTCACTAAATTGCTGAGGCTGGCTTTGAATTTGTGATTATCCTGCCTCAGCTTCCCATGCATAAAGCATGGCCACTGCACCCAGCTCAGTAAATAAATATTCTAGCTCCTCTATTTCAAACAGACTGCTTCTGCTCTTGGTTGTTTCTGGTGTCTCCAGACCAGAAGTTCTAACAAATATGCCAATTAGGACTGAGGAGGTACAGGACAATTGCCCATCATACAGATGGAAATGTTTGGGTTTTTCTAGTTGCTTCTTATACAGAGTTGAAACCAGTTCCCCTTACTTTTCTTTATCACACTGACTGTCCCTGCCACTTCTAGAGGTATCTAGTACTACAATTCCTACGCATTTTGATCATATTTAGATATAAAATCAGGGATTTTCACATTTTCTCATGCTTATGTGGGGTTTACCCATCTATCCTCACTGTTCTTCCATTTGTGTTTAGCTTTCAATATTTCAATGCTGTTTTTTCTTTTGTTCTTTATCTTTGTGGTTTTGTGCTTTTAAAAAAATATATAACATAGGGATTTTGAGAATTTTTTGCTTAATTTCTTTTGACTTATAAAATGGTTAACTAAAATTTTGTTGTTTTTGTTGTTGTTAACTGAGATTGATTCCCTCTTCTAGTCAATGAAAATTTAATAGTTAATATGTGAAAGTCATATCACCATCTCAGGTTTATAAAAGCAGTTCAATTCAGTTTTGGCCTTCACAACATCATTAATTAGAATTAACAACTTTTATTTCAAATTGCCATGGGTGATTTTACATGGCTAGTCATTAAAATTAAGCTAGATTAGAGAGAGCTGATAGCATAAAATAGAAGTAATTATGATGAGATCAAGCTAAGAAGGAAACATGTTTTATATTTGAAGGCAAGGCCATGCTCTTAAGTTTTCCAAGTTCTATGAAGAAACTAGGATATTTATTACCTTTAGAACATGAAGAGTTTTAAGTAGCCATGTAATTTCTTCCTATAGTACTACCAGAAACTTCATATATAATATTACCTATTGTTTTAGAAGAACATTTGGCATAATGTTTGTTCAGAAGTGTTGGTTTTTGCATTTTTCATGTACCAAAAAGGCCTAGATAAAAGTTACATTTTAAGAGACTCCTATGGACTGTGTCTTAAGGACAATTACATAAATGTTCAAATGTTCTAGTGTAATATTTTGTTCTTAGAGAAACAGCTTGAATATCATGTTCTTATACCCCAAAACACAAATTTCTCTAATTTTATCTTTTTAATCTTAAATTAGGCCACAGTGCCTTGTTATGACAGGTTCTCCCAATTCACGCCCAGCTTTACTTCACCTTGTTCATGATTTCACGAAAAATGTTGGATTGATGATTTGTGGCCATGTTCATATGGTAAGAACCAATTTTTGTTTTCTGGATTAAAGCATTTTTAACTCTATGTAACTTGTTATTTGTAACACTTTCTGGGTTGGAAGCAACTTGACAAATTGTCACTTTTTTTAAGGTAGTTTTCTTTAAAATATTTTTGCCTATAAACAGTATCAATATAACATTTTTAGAAAGATTTTGACATTTTGAATCTTCACTGTTATACTAACCAGAAGTAAGAATATAATTTAAAATAGTGGTAAATGTTCATGCCCAAAATAGTTTTTTGTTGTTGGCATCTTGGATGTTGAGAACAATCACTGGGTGATGGTTTACTTGTTCAGCACAAGAAATTGGAATATTTGTCAGATTCACTTTTCTCCCAAGCTATGTTGTTAATCTTATTTTGGTGCTGAAAATATGTGTTGTATGCCCCATGTCCCAGCTTCTGCCAGAGTTGCTCTTTTACTTGTGGCAAAGTCAAGGGGGGGTGGTGGGTGGCACAGCTGCCCATGAGCTCTAGTGAGGATTGGTAGAAGGATACATTGAAACAGTGATCTCACTTGGAACATGTGCAGTTTTCCAGTTTGTCTGAAATTGTCAGTTCAAGCCAGGGACTTGAGCACAAAACATTACAAATGAAGCAATTTCTCTAACAGAAAATATTTTTCCTTAATCTTCATTGAGGTATATACAATTAAACTATTTGCTTTGTGTATTTGTATATAACATGTTTTTAGGGTTGCTTACAAGGATCAAAATCGAACTTTAAGGTCACAAATTCTTTTATWTCATTAACAGAAGTGTGAAGAAAAATGTATTAATACATAATTCACTGTGATTTTCAGTAATATTCTTCAGTCATTGAGAATTAATAACATTTAGGCCAAACAAACAATAAACTAGGAAACTTTCTATAGAAAAGTGGAAAGCTATTATTTTGTTTTGTATAATCTCTTCCTCATTTTAAATAATTTTCTAGCTTCTCAGATGATGGATTGATATGTTTATTTTAAAGTCTGTTCCTTCCTCTTCTCTTCCTGCCATCTGCTAGCATACTCTTGTGCCATTGAGTATGCTTTTTTTGTAATCTTAAGTATTAGGAAGAATTTAGTTACATGAAAATAAAATACTTTTATTAGACTTCTCCCACACCAATATTTAGAGACCTTGTTTCAACCTTGTATAATAGGATGGTTTTTATAAATGTAAAATGGATTACCTTTTAATTAAATATATTAAGATTTTTTTTTTTTTAATTTAAAGGGCCCTCGAAGACAAGCCATGAAAGAGATGTCCATTGATCAAGCCAAATATCAACGATGGCTTATTAAAAACAAAATGAAGGCTTTTTATGCTCCAGTGCATGCAGATGACTTGAGAGAGGGTGCACAGTATTTGATGCAGGTAAATGTGTCGGCCTCTCAGGTGTCTCAATTCTGGTTTTATATAAGTTTCTTAGAACTTTTTCATTCTGGATTTCTTTCTTCGTAGTCATACAATTGGTAACTCTTTTTAAATATCTTAATTATGGCAGACTACATTTTATAATTCTGAACTAAAAGGACTATAGAAATTCTTGGCTGGCAGCCAAGAACCTATTAGAAAGTTATCTTAGCTTATTATTCACATAAAATATTTCCATCTATTCCTCCTGCATTTTACTGTTTTTTTTTTTAATAAAAATGGTAACTAATATAGTCCTTATCTAATTTTTTAAAAACCCCAGTTCCTTATATTTCTCACTGTTTATTTGTTAGTACTAAATTTTTATTTTTGTTTTAGTTTTGTATATAGTAGAATAGCCAAAATAGAGGAATGGAACCCATCATAAGTTTAAATGCTAGGAAAATCCTTTCCTTATGATGATTTTGGATTGAACAAATTTTTAAACTTCTCTGAACATCAGTCCCTTGCATCCGAAAGATTGTAGGAGAAATAAATGGGTTTAAATAGTGTTTTCTAACTTATTTTCACAGGGATCCCATTCTTTTACTAAAAAAAAAAAAATGCTCAACCATAAGCTTCCCCTGTTCACTCTAATTTTGGAGCTTCTCTGTTAAAGTAGAGGTGGGAGGCTCAGAGGCTCCTCTGAGCTCGTTTTAGTCAAACAAATCTTCAGGAAAAAATAGCATTTAGGGAGTGCTAAGTAATTAAAACATTATGATATTAAAGCAGTAATAGACAATTAGATGAATGGAATGAAACAGAAAAATAGAGCTACTCATCTAGGAAATTTAACAAATGACAGAGGTGGAATTGAAAGGATGAGCTGGAACAATTGATTATTCTCATGGAAAAAATTAAAAAATAAATCCTTACAAAGACCACACAAAAATAATTTCCAGACAAACAAAATGACCTAAATATAAAACAAATTTTTAAAACATTTAATATATAAATAATTTTATGATCTAGGGATTTTTTTTTAATGAAACAGAAGTGAACTGGGAAGAATAGGTCAATTTTTTAGAGAATATGTGAAAAAAATCATAAAGGAGGCTACAAACCAAGGAAAGATAATAATCCTACCATGTAAGTAGCACACCAGTGGTCCAAAGTATATATATATATAAAAAAAAAAACTAGTAAATGAGTTAAAGAAAGAGCAGAAGTGAAAGATATGAATAGAATAGGAAAGATAAGTGACAGAAAAAGAAAAGAATTAAAACCACAATACAATTTAATTCCATATCTATCAGATTGGCCAAAAATTATATTTTCCAATACATAAGATTAGAAATTATATAAAGCAATTAGAAATCTTAGTACTGCTCTGCTAATTTAGATTGAACAACCACTTTTTTTTTTTTTTAACCACCACTTTTGGATAGCAACCCAGCAATGAATATTCTTTTCACATGTGAAGACTATATGAAACTTCAGCAACATCATTTGTAATAGTGAAAAAGAATTGGAGATAATTTTAACAGCCATCAATCAGAAAGTTGAAAATTATAGTGTATCTCTCAGTGGGATTCTATACAATGGAGAATAGAAAATGCATATCAACATAGATAAACCTYAAAAAGAAAATAAGGAAAAACAGTAACTTAAATATATGAAGATTATGAAGATATATATTTTTAAATATATAACTTATATTTTTATATGTATGTGTCCCTAAATAATAGATTATGTAGTAAAAATACAAAGCAGGCATGAAGCCAGTCGTAGTGGCACATACCTGTGTCACAGCAACTTGGGAAGCTGAGACAGGAGGATTCAGTGTTGAGGTGCCAGTCTGGACAATTTAGCAAGACATTGTCTCAAAATCAAATATAAATAAATAGAAAGAGCTGGGGATATAGCTCAATGGGAGAACAATCCTGGGTTCAATCTCCACTACTAAAAAGTGGGCATGAAGATACATATGAGTACTTCATGTGTTATTAATTTTTTTTTCTTAGCTGAGTGGTGAATACATGATTTTATATACTAATCCCTTTTTGTACATGATATAGTTAAATATTTCAGGTATAATGCTACCCCTGGTCATAAGGTTGTTTACAGTGGATAAATCTTGCTTAGTTTTATACAATTTATTACTAATTTGGACAAATTTTAAAATAAAATTTTAAAAAGTTTAAAAAATTGTGATTACTATGTATGTAATACATTTTATGAAGGAAAATTCTTCCTTAAAGCAGTGGTCAAGTGAGTCAAGTGGTTTGCACTAAGTCTCAAGAATTTAAATCTCTAATAAATTTCCTGATACCACCCCTGGTGGTTGTCCAGTTCAGAGATCATACTTAGAGAACTACTCACCTGTCAGAACATTGTGCTAATTTGCAACACTCACCTAGAGGTTTTCTGTGGTATATATGAAAATATTGTGAATTTGGCAAGAGACAATCCATTCTCATCAACCTAACGTACTCCCATGCATCCTGAAAATTTTATCAATATGGGCAAAGTAGGATAAATAGAACAGTATCATCTTCAGATTGCCTATAAACCTGACAAATTCAAGCCCTTTACAAAGATCCCTAAGCTGTCTGAGAAATAGTATGAAATGTCCTTACTAGTAGGTGCCAGTTTGCCCCTAGAGGACTAATAGATATTGTAATATAAATTTTCACTGAAAGTATTTACTTTTCCCTTGTACCTTCTGGAGCCCTAGTAGGTGAAGTGACAAATGCCCACATAATAATTTCCTGCCTTGTAATCTTTGTCAGAAAATATTTATGTACATTAATTTGTCTCTAGTGTGTTAACAGTAGTCTACAGGGTGTTTTTGGAGGGGGTGGGGGCCAGGTACCGGGGATTGAACTTGGGGCACTCAACCACTGAGCCACATCCCCAGCCCTATTTTGTATTTTATTCAGAGACAGGGTCTCACAGAGTTGCTTATTAGCATCTTGCTTTTGCTGAGGCTGGCTTTGAACTTGCAATCCTCCTGCCTCAGCCTCCCAAGCCCCTGGGATTACAGGTGTGAATCACCACCACTCTGGGCAGTATTCTGCAGTCCTCGAGGTGTCTTTTAGATGGGTTCTGTTATTTGTTTTACTAAACTTTGTATCTGTAGTTTCTCTGTCCCTGCATACCATCATAAGAATACCATTCAACAAGCATTTGAACATACATCCTACACAACAAAGTAAGATTCACTTTCAGAAAGAATCTTATCAGTAGTTTGTATAAAAACCCCTTAGGCAGTGAGACATAACAATGTTAATTTTTTCATTTGTATATTTGGGTTTTTCATTTTCTTTTTTTCGAGACAGCAGCCACTTGATTATCAACCCAATTTAAAACCTTTATTTTAAATAGCAAAATGACATTGTTCTTAAAGAAAATTCCAGATTGTATAATGATAGCCCTTTAAAGCAAATGAATCTCATGTAGGATTTCAGTGTAGACAAAACTATTTTTTCCTGGAGGAAAAATGGTCTAGAATTATCTTGTGTGGTATGTGTTGTGTATTCCTGATATTTCTTTATCATATGTTGAAATAAACAATGTTTTAAAGAAAAAAGATGTTCTCAAATTAGTGGATCAAAAATTCTAAATGGGCAATAAAAATATTTGAAGTATACATTTATATCCATATAGCCTGGATCTAGGTATAAATGATGCCATGATGTTATTACCTAATTATAACTTGAAGCCATCGTTTTTGACTGAACTTTTCAAAACTAACTATCCAGATCATGTAGCAAAAACTTGGTGTTTTTTTCAGTGATTTTTAAAGTAATACAAATCTCATATCAGAACTCAAGTAAATTTTAAATAGGCAACTATGATATTGGAAAATGTTTTTACTTAGTAGTGAAAGACAAAATGAAAAACTACAGTTGGGAAAACAGTTGTTCTTTTGGCTGTAGTAAAAATTCTTGTTAATGATACAAAGAAAATTATAACAACAAATGCATTTCTTACTACAAATTGTAGTCTGAGACACACAGAAAACAAACATTGCTAGTGAGTTGAAGATAGTAATGTTTGTAATAAGGTTCAAAAGATTGCATTTTGCCAAGTCATTTTCAATTATGGAATCCATGAAGAATGATTTTCTATCAACCATTAGAGAAATATGTTCTGGAGTAGATAAGTTTTCTGAAATAAACTATTTCCCTAATGCACATCATGTACTGTGTTGGAAACTGTGAAAACATGACCCTCTAACAAAATAAGTACTTTGATTAGAATTTACGAAGAATTTAGGGATTTAGAGATTTAAGAATTTAGAGATTTCTTCATTCAGTCATTCTGGGGAAAGTTATCTCAGTAATGAAGTTGGAAGCAGAAGTGCACAGAGTATATAACAGGATGTTATTGTTAAATTTTTTTTGTTATTTTTTTTTGTGTTGTTATTTTTTTTTGTTGTTGTTGTTAATTTTATAAAGTTAAGATCTTTAGGGGGGCTTGGGAGGGGGCCTGCGCGGCCGGTGGGGCGTGAGCCCCGGAGCCTCCGCCACCGCGGCCCG